ATGTTCTTCATGTTCTTCCACGAAATAATCAATCAATGCAATTGATACATTTGCATTTAAAAAAATTTAAATCTATGTCATACGAATTCCTGTGAAATGAAACTCTTTGAAATAAGAAATAATAAGTCAACTTTACATATTATTTTATGTTCTTCCACGAAATAATCAATCAATGCATACATTTGCAAAGAGCCAAAGAGCCAAAGAAAATTACAATTTTAATATATTACATATTCAAATATAAATTTTATCAGTTGAGTACATGCACAAATTAAAATGGTTATTTTCTTAGTATCAGTGATAACTATTACTAAATGCAATATTTAAATGATATAAAAATATATAAAGAGCCAAAGAAAATTACAATTTTAATATATTACATATTCAAATATAAATTTTATCAGTTGAGTACATGCACAAATTAAAATGTGGTTCTTGTTATTTTCTAAATTTGGAAATTAAGAGTACAAAAAAAAAAGTTTTAAGGCCGATAATTTGTCGTTACAACAATACTACTTATTTAGTTTCTTTATAGAGAAAGAATAAATATGTATAATGTGTTCTTTTTTATATTTCTATATTTTTCATAAGCACTATAAAATGTATGTTACATTTGATATATCAAACATAAAAAAAAGAAACCAAGCTGCACATTACCTAAATTAGATCTACGAGATTTCGTAGATCAATACTGGAATTACAAGTCCATTATACCGCTTCTCTGTTTCTCTTGGCTCTCAGTCCATGCCTTCGCTATTGTTTTCTTCATTTCGTCGTCGCCGTCCTGATACATCTTCTTCATGAGATTCATTAGACTAGCGCCAGGATCGCTGTCCTCGCCTAATTCCGGCACAGTCGACGATTTGGCATCTTTGATTCTCTTCTCTACTAATGTGATATGAGACCAGTCTTTAGCAACTTTTTTCGCGAGTAACATTACGATCATATCAGTCTTCACTTTAAAACTGCTCTTCTCAGTGTCGATCTCGGCACACAAATTGTTGATGGTTAAGTTATAATTTTTGTTATCCAAACCAAGTACTCGCAAATCCAAAGACTTGTCTGTAAAATTGCAGATGATGGCATCCTTGGGCAACTGATGAACATCTTTTAACGTTATATAGATTTTCACTGTTGTAAGTGTCTGGTCCCATCCATAATTGTTCAATTTTACTTCATAGCACTTTTGGGGACCATTGAGCAAGGGAGTTGTCGGTTTAATGGATGCATTTTTGTTTTCTTCAAGTAACCTTGCCAATTCTGTCTGTAGTCTCCTGATTTCCAGTGTCAACACATCTTTTGTTCGTTGCCTACGAGCCTGCTCAAGTAAGCTGTTGAGTTCCTCAATATCTAATTTCACCTGTGGGAAAAAGAATATTGAAACTAGATATCAAAATTATTAAAATTTAAATGGAGCAGATCAAACTAAACATTTTCTAAATTTATAATTATATTTTCAATAAAATATTTAACATTGAGTAAATTATTATTAAACTAATCAAACACTAATTTTTAGATAGTAAAATAGAAATCTAACAATACTCACTTCGTCAGTTTTCGCCGACATTATTGATTTAATTCACAAGTCTCGCAGAATGTTCACGATGTGTCGTAAGTTTTATACATATAACACTAAAACGCAATGAATGTTCGCGAACTGACACCCAGAGATTAAATGATAGCGAAATATATCGGTACGATAGAATATATCATAAGAATCTTCCAGAATTTTCGCTACCGATTACTGGTTGTGGTTGTGCTCAATGTCTGTCCCCGTATAACTACACTGTTACACTTTCTGCACTCAAAATTTCTGTATAGCGGTCTTCTCTCGAGACATTACCATATCTCTTGATCTGTAATTACAGAATAAATATACTACAAATAAACAACTAGGAGAATGTGGCATTGCTAATTTGCGGAATTCATTGAATTTTTGCGGTAGTCATATTTTTAATTCGTAAACACAATTAATAAATTCATTAGGTTTATTTTTTGTAACTGAACGTAAAGCCCGTATCAGACTACGCATTGAAAATTGAAGATTGAAGATAAAGATTGGAATTTTACTAATTAGAACAAAAGGAACTAAAATTTCTTTGTCCTGATTGGTCAAATTTCAATCTTCAATCTCAATCTTCAATGCGTAGTCTGATACGGGCTTAAGGGTGCCGTGTAACAGAGCTCTATGGTAGTTTCTATCCAATGAGTTCGAGAGAGATAGTTCGTAGGTGATCATGCTTTTTCTGTCTTGCACACACATGTATAGCTTTTATAAAAGAAACGAGAAAAAAAACACAGGTGATATATATTTTGTTTAATAATAATAATATCTATTGTGTATAATGTAAATAAATATCAATTTTCAGTATTAGTAATGTGTATCAGAACATAATTTTTTTTATCTCGACCGAATTCATATCACTCATCATGCTATTAGCCGCAAGAAGCTGGAATCTATCTCATTTAGATTCCTGCGCAATGATTTCTGCGCAGACGATCGATGCTCGATGCTGCCATGTAATGGCACCTTAATGTTAAGCAATTGGCTATCGAATAAAGAATTTTTAACCAATCTCTCGTATGATATTGTTTCATGTGTATCTTTTGTTGAAAAGCGTCCTTAAATGTTTGGGTAACATGTTATGGATGTCGCGGCAAGGCGAAGAAATAGCGAGCGCAGATTGTTTATTATGTCCAATATATTTCCTTATAGTTTTGACATAATTATCTGTGAAATATTGCTTTATTAAATAATGGAACAATCCATTAAAAGAATGTCTGATGAAGTGGAGCCAAAAATTCTCGAACCAGTTTTAATACGGACCGATAATAAAGATCGCATACGCATTGACAAAAATCTGGTAAAAGACAAATATTATTATAATTTAGTTTACTTTATAGACGAATTAATTACGAGTAAGAATCTCTCAAACCTAGACATAAATCTTAGAGAAATCTCAAACAATTTTAATTTTTTATTAATGGGAAAAAACAAATTATATAATATATAATAATAAAAATGTTTATGCATTTTCTCTATATGTATGATAATATCTTTACGAGCTTTGTTTATTTTTTATATGTAAACTTTATATATATACATATATTTTATATATAAAATTTAATATATTATATTAATTTAATATATTATATTTATGTATAAAATTTTATATATAAACTTTATATATACATACATTTTACATATAAAAATACAATAAAGTACTGTTATAATGTATGAATGTAAAAGCAGTCTGGTCAATATCTATTGATATAGTGAAATCTTAATAAATTCAATTCACAAAATATCAGAAAACTATATAAATTTTGAAAATATAATAATCTTTTTTTGGGGGGGATGTATACAGTTTAAAATTGGTCGTTCAAGAGACAACGATGAGATTATATTGGATGTTATGATATCTAGAAGACATTGTATCTTTATGTGTGATGATCAAGATGAATGGATGATTAAAGATTTAAGTTCATCAGCAACATTTGTTAATAATGTTGCCATCCTTCCTGGAAAACTACAAAATATATATCCTGGTGATGTTATACAATTTAGTCCTAATGAAACATTCAAGTATATATTTACTCTTGCCGAAAGAGATCATTGTATTAAAAGGCCACGTATAGATGAAAAAATACTTGACACTGTTCTTATCAAACAGAAAACATTTGCTGAAAGTCAAGAATGTCAGAGAAAAGAACTCAAAGATAAGCTTGAAATAAAACAAAAGGAGCAAGTTGAATTAAAACAGCAGCTCGAAGATCTGTTATCACAACAGACTGTTATTCAAGATGATAAAGAGAGTTTATTAAGGCAAATTGCGGTACTAGAAAATAAAATAAAGACAGGCAATGCTCAAGAACAACATTTGAATAGCATGTATTCCCAATTATTGGAAAAATTGGAGAATGAAAGGCAGCAATTTGAGACAAGGATAAATGAAGAGAAGCAAAAATGGCAAGAAGCACTAGATATGAGTAAGCAAGAGAAAGAAATGCTAGAAATAAAAATGAGAGAACAAATGGAAAAGTGGAGAGAAGAACAACAAACGGAATGGAGAAATATGATGGATAATAAGGTAAAAGAAGAAAAAAATATTCAAGCTCAATTACTGAATGAGAAAAATATACTAGAAGAGAGATTGAAGGAAACGGAAAAAGCCTTAAAAGAACAAGAAGCAAAGGCAGAAACTTCACAGGCATTGTTAAATGGTATGTTTTAAGAAAATTTATTTCCCAAAAAATTGTTTTTTTCATCTATATATGGTACTATTTTTCAATTGTATATTTTTGATGACTTTGAAACAATTTCTTATTATAAATTATTAAATCTCATTAATCTTTTTTTTTCAGCAAATATAGTAACTAATGAAGCGAGTACAGCAGATAACTGTATATTTGTAGAATTGGTTGATGTTGATCAATCTTCAGGATTACATATATTGGACACAATAGATTTAACTGGATTAAGTCAAAATATTATAGAGACTAATACTAAGGAAAGTGTTCTTGGAAAAGTGAGCGACATAATGGACGAACAATTGACATGTAGCATATGCTCAGAATTGTTTGTGAGAGCAACAACATTAAATTGCACACATACATTTTGTCACCATTGCATATGTATGTGGAATAAAAAACGAAGAGATTGTCCTGTTTGTAGAAAATCAATAATATCAATGAATAGATCATTAGTTTTAGATAATTTTATTGAGAGTATGATTGAAAACTTGCCTACAGAACTTAAAGATAGAAGAAGAGAGATTATTGAAGAAAGGAAAGGTAAAAAAAGAGCATGTTGACTATTTTAAATATTTTATATTTTATATTATAGTATTGTGATATATAATTGATTTTGTATATAATTTTTCTATATATATATATATTTTTTTTTCTAATTCTCTTGTAATATTTTAGTATTAGAAAAGAAGAAACGCTATTGAAACACAAATCGGACAAAGCACACGAAAAGACAAGTTATAGTATTTTAGTATATATATGTTAGTTCTGTATCATAAAAAAGAGAAAAAATATTTCATTTGTCAATTAATTAACAATCTAATATATCAAACATATGTATAGTTCTGCTCTTTATCAACTATATAAGCTTAGAAAAACATTCAAGTTTTATTTTTATAAAAAAATTAGGAATATCTTTTTATATTCTGTCATTTTATTAATTTTTACATCATCGCTACATAATGGGTATAGAATGTGTAAGTGTATGATTAAATCTTTTTATAAAACTTATGTGTGTTATATATTCATATTCTTCAAGTATATATACAAGTGCTTGTGCTGTACTTTTTGTCTCCTCTTGATTGTCTTTTTCCGTTCCTTTCTTTTCTGCTCCTTTGAATTTTAGAATTTTCAACGACTACGCGTTTTGCAGTCTTTTTCGAATTCTCCATCCTTGTATGTTTTAGGGTGATAACAAACCTCTCTGTCTAAGTTGCTTTCCATTTACATCAAAACTCAGATAATTCTCACTTGTGACATCATAACTCAGTTGAATGCACGTTCCTTTTGATGCTAGCAAGTAAGATTCAACTGAATTTTTACGTGGTTTCTGCACACGGTCTCGAATCTTACTTGCTAACATCAAAAGGAACGTGCATTCAACTGAGTTTTGATGTAAATGTAAAGCAACTAATAATTTCTATCGCAATAAATAGGCCCATTCTTTAAAATTTTTATAGATCTATAAAAATTCAATTCATTCTATACAAAAAGGAAAATATACATATATTATTAATGCATAAAAATATATGTATCACGTAAAAATAAAATTATAATGTTAGCTGCGCAAATAAAACAAGTTATTTATTAATTTTATTGTAATATTCGGAGTAACGAAATCATTAAAAGACACAATTAACTCCTACCTTTTCAGCAAAATGTCGTCGGTAATTTTTAATAACTTGCAAGCTATAGTTAAAATGAAAGGCTTTTTGTGATTTCAATTTCAAAAGTAATAACACCACAAAACGTCTTTATATTAGAAATTTATTTATAATATAATTCGCTATCGTTACGCGTCGTTGCGCAGCTAAAACATATCGGAAAATAGCTGCGCAACGACGCATAACGATAACGAATTCGTCGTTAAAAGTTACAGAATAGGGCTACAGGTTTCAGGCCAATACCCGGCTGATGTGGCGACGGTAAATTCGGAGTGCTGACGCCGGGCTTCATCGCAACTCCGATCCCTATGACGACATTTGAAATCTACTGACCGTCTACCTTGTCATAGGCCCGCTTGGTCTCATATTCATCACAGCTATTCGTCTCCTGTATAAATAAGTATTTTTAATATGAAAATTTTCAATAAATAAAAGCTTGATAGATATAAATATATCAAATTATTACTTCCATTTTATTTAGTATTGCTTACTAAGCTTATCATTGTCAGTAATTTTTCAATATGATATTCAAATCACATTATTTACCAAAAATATCTTAATGTCGCATTAGAATCGTAATGTACAAAGATTTTACTGACCTGAGTAGTTGCGCTTGTTGTAATCGTTGTTGCAGCTGCTGTTGTTGTTGCTGTTGCTGCTGCTGTTGGGCCGCCTGTTGTTGTCTCTGTTGCATCGCTGGCATCTGCTGCTTGTACCATTGTGACAGCATTGCCTGTAGTCTGCCTTGCTGCTGTTGTTGCTGCTGCGGCTGTTGCTGTTGAGACATCATATACTGCAAACCAGGTTGTTGTTGAAGTTGATTAGGAGCCAATGGGCCGCCGACTCCTCCGCCATGTTGACCAGGTTGTTGCCGATGAACAATCTTATTAAGAAGATTATATAAGAGTAGATCAAATATGCGCATATAATAATATAAAAACACTTATTTATTTATTTTTTTAAAGAAATAAAGTTACCCGTGGCTTGATAAAGGCAGCCATCAACGGCGGATGGCTTTTGAGTATTTGGTTCTGTTGTTTGGGCGTCTGCGGGCTTCTAAGGGTCTGCATCAGCTGTTGCAGAGCATGCTTCTGCATATTACTCGCCTGCAGACCAACCTGTCCACCAATCACACCCGGTTGCCGCGGCATTTGTGCAGTTATTGCCATTCCTGGTTGAGCTTGATGTGGCTGTTGCATCTGCTGCGGCGTTTGCTGTCGCGCCAAGTTAGGATTTTGTTGCATTACCGTGTTCGATTGGTACCTGCTAAGAAGAGAACATGCATGAGAGTTGAAAGATGCATTCCTCGTTTAACAGAACATATTAGTCAAACTCCAATAATGGCACAAATCTATTAGTAACAAAAATAATAATTATTCTATTGCATATCCATTTATTAATTTTCATTACTCTTGATTACCCCTATTCTTGATTACCTGGAACTTTACGTTTGCATCGGATTCTCAGTCCTCCGCTTTAATTTGTTACTCATACGGCTTTTACCAACGGAATTTGAATGAATAATATGTATTTATGTTGGCAATTCTTTTTGTTTGGTAATGATTCATCAATTCGTTTAGAAGGAGAGTCGAACTTATATGTGGTGAGTTTAATTATTGCGAGGATTTTAATTATGTTATCATTTGCGACCCATTTGACATTATTGTAAGCGCATTGTGCATAATTTATAATTTTGTTGCGTTGCGTCTTTATTTTATTATATTTATCACTGATTGCTTCGCCTCACGATGATTTTCTATGTATTTGCATTTTTTCTATTTTTTATCTTGTCATTATCGACCCGAAGTAGACCGAAATGTTTGATATTTTATAATATATTATTAATACCTATTTAAAAAAATATAACACGGTTTTTACGCTTTAAGTACCGCGTCCAGACTCTAATTGGCTTTCCTTTTTCCATTATTTGATTTTTATCATTATTAACATTATGAACATTTTAAGTTTATTATTTTTTAATATATACCTTGCCGTCCATTGATCCATCGGAATGAGATGCGTGCCGGGATTCGGCATCTGTACTGGTAATGGCCGTTGCATCTGCGGTGGTGGCATTACGCCACTCGTTTGACCGACAACGCCGACGCCAACGCCAACACCTACGCCAACGCCGCAACCCGGTGTCACTTTGCTGTAATTGACATGTGGTGCTTGTTGTCTCGCGGCCTCCTCTTGCACCTGCTTCACTACTTGTAGCATATGAGCGGGAGGCGTCTGCGTACCAGGTTTCAGGCCGATACCCGGCTGATATGGCGACGGTAAATTCGAAGTGCTGACGCCGGGCTTCATCGCGACTCCGGTCCCCATGGCGACATTTGAAGTATGCTGACCGGTCCGCATTGCCATTGGTCCACTTGGTCTCATATTCATCACAGCCATTCGTCTCCTGCATAAATAAAAATTTTTTTAATGTGAAAATTTTCAATAAATAAAAGCTTGATAGATATAAATATATCAAATTATTACTTCCATTTTATTTAGTATTGTTTACTAAGCTTATCATTGTCAGTAATTTTTCAATATGATATCCAAATCACATGATTTACCAAAAATATCTTAATGTCGCATTAAAATCGTAATGTACAAAATTCTACTAACCTGAGTAGTTGCGTTTGTTGTAATCGTTGTTGCAGCTGCTGCTGCTTTATCTTGTGTTTAATGTTAAAGCAGAATGGAACAAGACACTTGGTCTCTTGGCAGTGTTTCGCATGATAACAACACAGCGTGATCAGCTGCTTGCAAATCCGGCAACCGCCGTTCGTCTTTCTCTTGCAGTTCTTTGTATGCATTATCACTCGCTTCATCTTACAGCAACTCGGCAGATGGCAATTGGCATCTCTGCACTGGCAAGCATGCACCAATGATTGAATGGACCTCTGTATCGACAGTTTCCGGACTTTCTTCATGGGATGCGGATGACCATTTTTATCTTTACAACTCACGCATAAATCGAAATCCTGTAATTAAATAAAGTTATAGTAAAATAGAGATATAGTAAGTATATGAAAGTTTAAATAAAAGTGTCTATGTGTAAGAGAGAATATTTTTATCCAAAATATATATAATCTACTACGTACTTCACAAACTGTACAATGGTATCTGGTCTCCACATGACTCTTGCAATTATTACAAGTGTGAACAAACTCTCTCCCCATCGTCAAAAACGCGTCACGATTGTCTATCAAATCGCAGTTGATAACGGGATCGGGATCTTCGATCGGCTAAAGGTATTTAGGTAAAAGATTAATAATCACATGTAATAAACTTTTGAGTTATAAAATATAATAGAGACAAACTTACTGCTAAACTAGCCGCACTTTGACACGGCCAAGTCGATGAATATAAATAGCGCTAATGTTGTAGAGATCAAGTTGTGGGTTAGCATCAGAAATTTTATTTAGATGAGAGTTACTGATAGGATGCTACAGAAAAAATTCCTCTTTAGAAGTGGAGAACAGAATTCAAAAATAAAGTCCAAAGGACACACGCGTAATGTGTCTGAACACGAGTTCGCACCTTTAGGCCGATATTACATTTGTCGTACGACAAATGTAATATCGGCCTAAAGGTGCGAACCCTGCAGCACATGCAGCGAAAAATGGAAAGCACCCTATATAATACTAGACCGCTTAAATGGAAAGCACCCTATATAATACTAGACCGCTAAAGCCTATCGCACATCGCACAATGACCTATCTAACCTAATTCTATGTCTATCTTCGAACCTGTTCCGCAAAGTTTAGCTAGAGAGAGTGAACAGGTTAATAATTATCCTGCTTAGTTAGTGTACAATATTTAGTGTACAATATTTTTGAAATGAATTAAATATTGTATATCATTAATTGACGATCAACATGCGAAACACACATTCTTTTATTACATGCTTTCAAGTATTCAGATGCATTAGTTCATCAAGCGCGTACTCGAATTTTCATAGAGAGAGTAAATTCATTAAAAAATTACTGCATGGAACTCATAAATCGAAAAGGTAAGAGATCTCTTTCGATAAATTAGGTGTATGTTTAAGTTACAGATTTCTATCGTGAAACTGTATGCAAATTCATATATTTTTATTACAGAAAGTGGCATGACCCAAACACAGATTTACATAATACTTTAGGCATTGAGCAGACCAATAAAACATCTGCGCAAACAATGCGTAGAATGGTGGTCCGAGATAAACTTTTCATGAAGCATATAACAGACTTGATGTCAATGGGGGAAGTGTCTGATATCATAAATGGAGACATAGAGATTACTCATGTGAAAATAACTTCGGATTATAAATACGTCAATGTGTTCTGGATACACAGTAATGATGATGTCTCCTCGCTTGTTAGCGAAGAAGCATTGCAAAAGTGTGCTAAAATTATTCGGCATGAACTATCACAGCTTCGTGTTATAGGTATAGTACCTCCTATCCAATTTGTCGAAGACAAGCGGTTTTCAATAGAGAAGGAAGTAAAGAGAAGATTAACAACAATAAATTTTGAGGATAAATCTGTGCCATATTCCGAACAAATGCAATTGGATGCTTTACATACTGATATAGCTGATCAAGCTTTGCACATAAAACTAGATACAAATCATGATTCTGAGATAGATGAATCTTATATAGAATTGCCAATGATGAGACACGATGTATTAGGATTAGATCATTACAAAATTATGTCCAAGGTAATTTATCTTATGCTTAGTTTTGTGATAACAGATAAATATATGAAAGATATGTTGAATTTTGTTACAGATTGTTGCTTCTGTATCCAAATCAAAAGAGGCTGCTCAAAGACGGATGTTAGACATAAATACTAACATTGATAAAAGTTCTTGCAACCTAGTTTCAAAAGAAAACGTCTTCTTAACAAACAAAGAGCAAGAAAAGATTTTCTCTGATTTTCTAATCTCAAGACGAAGAGATGAAAAACGCCTATATCGTACGAGAAAATTGCTTAAACATAAACTATTAAATAATTTTGAGGAAGAGGTAGAATCTGATTATGATGAGCCTGAAAATGATTATAGTGACGATAGGGAGAATAGTCATGAGTTTGATAATGAGTTGCAATGATTTTAAGCTAATATATTTTTCAACAATCTTTATTATTCAATATAAATATAATACTAATGTTCAACTTTCTTTGCGCGTTAGTGTACAATAAATAATTTATTAATAATAAACTGTATTGTACAATATACATAATCTTGCTATAGGTACGAGATAATGCAATTAAAAACAATAAAAAGACTAGTCACTATTTTCTGGACATTAGTCTGTTTTAACAAAGGTGAGACCATAAACATAGTAAGTAAAGACTGCACAGGCGTATCAATCAAGCATTGCGCCACAATTAGAAAGAGTTTTGGAGAGTCCGACTCTCTCTCAAATATAAGATATAAGATTCTGATCACTATGGAAACGATTTCACTCTAATTAAAAAATGATGAACAGACTCTTGAAATATTGCCACTTTCTTTCTAATTTTGATGCATGAATTTTTTGTGGTTAAGATAGGATATGTAGCTTACATTACGCGCGCACAGTTTATATTTACTACATCTATAAGTAAGACTGTACATAATGTACAAACCCTTTATCACATAATTACATGTCATATACAAGCTCTTTGATCGCTTTGACTTATAGAAATTTCTTATAGCATTATATGATAAGAATTTAATCAATTGTGATCAAAATTGACGATTATAAAGAATGTAAATCTTACTTATGGCAAGATTATTCTTCTATAAATTCCACATATTTGCAGAATACATTGTCATAATTTCCGAACTGAAAGCGGAATATGTAAATTATGCAATATCTACAATTATCACATAAAGCCAACGTCTATCAGTTTACATTTTTACAATATCATATTTGTATATTATATATAAGGTTGCTCTGTCACACAACGTAAACGAAAAATTAAAAACTTATTTTTATGTTTAATATATCGCGTATGCGGTATTCTCCATTACATTACAATATGCAATTACCATATAGTTCTTTGTACTAGTAATAATAGAGTGGAACATTCTGTTTTATGAAAATATTTTTAAATTATTGGATTTTAATTAAATCTTAGTTGATCCTGATGTGTCTACTTTTTGTTCTTCGGGTCTACGTGTTTCAAGCGTTTCGTTAGGTAAGGTCATGTCTATTTCTTCACTAGTGAATTTAGCATACGAACGTAAATTTGATGATGTTAAGCGAGGTATCGAATCACTTAATGCGCATGCTTCCAGTACGTATTTATTGAAGGTTTCACTTTTGTCCGCATAAACATGATGGCCAGCTCCAGTAATTACCTGTAAAATATAATTTATACTTAAGCACAAACAGATGCAAATCAATCTGTTTCAGCATCACCGTAATTTAATTTTTGCACCTGTACGTTAACGTACGATGAAGATCGATTCTGTTTAATCATTTCACCAGCTGAATTATCAACCCAAGATCTACTACCATATAGTAATGTTATAGGTATATCATCTCTTAACTTGTGCATCCGTTTGACAATAGGATTTTTGGCCCACCCAAAACCATACATCATTGCATGAAATGCACTTTCACCTCTGTTAAATATAATATAAAAATATAACACAGTAATATTTTTTAACTGTATCGAGATGTTTACTTTTGAAACTTACGATGGTGTCTGCACATTGCATTGATGTATATATTGCGAAATAACAGCAGTATCATCCTTTAATAGGGGAGAAAACTTCTTCACTATGTCAGGTCTTGTCTTCTCAATGAGCCACTGTCCTATAGTACAATAACATTTTTATTCAACAATGCAAACAAAATACAATGAATATATACTATATATACATATTTGTAGCAGTGCTACTAACCAAATGGTCCAGCAACTCTAACTGCCCACAAAGGATTCAACGGCTGCACTGCAAACGCTATAGCTTTAACCCATATTGGTATGTTTGCCTTTGTAGCAGCATCAGCTGGCTTTTCAGGAAAGCCCCATGGATCAGCTAGTATGAGATGTTTTACTCTTTCAGGATATTGCATAGCATAAGATGCTGCAAGAAAGCCACCCATTGAATGACCTAATAATACAAAATTTTCTAGTTGCATTTCCCTTCTCCATTCTTCTACGGAACGTACTAATTGTTCTTCAGCTTTTTGTGCTTCATGGCTGAAAACAGGTCTGCTACTCCTACCAAATCCTAAAAATTAAAAATTTCAAATAATCATATATTATGAACAAGTCTATCAAGTATAATATATTTATATGCAGTTACAAAGTCCAATCAATTAATCATATAGATATATATGAGTCATATATTTGTCAAGTGGACAATGATAAAAGCAGAAAAAATTTTTAATCTGACAAATTATATCATTTTATTAATGCAAATTAAATGTGGAATCTCATATATAAAGTTAAAAGCACTGGAAGTATTTTGATATTCTAAATATCTATCTCTCACCTAATAAATCAATGGCATATACTGGTCTCTGAGATGCAAGTGCGTCCAGATTTAAACACCATAATGCTACTCCAGATCCTAAACCATGTAATAGAACAATTGGTGTCTTTGGTGATTCTTCATTCAATGAAATAGTCCATATTTTATCCGCCGGACCCACTACTGGTCCAATATCCACATACCATCCTCTATACGCTGTTTTTAAACCTTGTAATATTGAAATTGACATAAGTTTTAAATGATTTAAAGGGGATTGTTGAAACTTATTCTATTTTATTTACATGACAGAATCTTTTTTTCCACAGTACGTAACATGGTTGAAGACGATCCAGACCAGCTAAACCATCCCCAAATCCAGCTGCTGTTTTGAGAAAATAAAAGATTATTTGTTTCATACAAATACACACACAATTGAGAAAAAATATATTCTTTATCTTATAAAATGTATTTCAATTTATATTTGCGAAAATAGCAGACACTGACAGAAATTTGTCAAGTCATGCTTTGGCATCAACACAGGTATACGCTAGACGTGTATTAATAGTCGTGATATCATAAATTTCCAATTACGTTTTTATCTACGTCCATCTCTAGCTACTTAGCATCGCCATGAAGATGAATCGCGAGAGAAATCTAAATAAGACAATTAAGGCGAGCTTAAACCTTAAAATTGTCACGATCGCTCATCTCTACATATTTTATTAGGCTGCTAGAAAAAAAGCTCTACCGTCTTTAACACGATAATCCGTCATCTCGTCGCAAAAGAAAAACTGTCGCGAATTCCTGTTGCGCGCACACACACAGCTACTCTTTGTGCAAATGACGTAACGATGACTGCGCGGCAATCGCGTTTTAAAACCGCGATCTGAATCTCGTGATCATTCCCGATCCACAATTAATCGCGAAAATTACTGAAGAAGTTCTCACCTTTTCGCTTCGACGACCTCATGATCTGCCATGAGCGCGACGACGTGGTATACCTTCTCGCGGCTGTCTCGCCGCGATCGGACCCTTTGTTGTTGACAACGCGGAAAAACACGCGCGTGTGCCGTAATGCGCGCGATACTATTATCTAGCGGAAACGCGCGCTGCGTATACACGCTCGGGTGAGCACGCTTGGTGATACATGGAGGGGAGAGTGCCAAAAGGGGGAAGAAATCAGCTGATATCGAAGCGCACAATTTCTAGAGCGTTCACGCACTCTGGGAGGCAACGATAGGTATCTATATATACGCGTGTGTTGGACGCCGAGAGTCTTCCTCTTTCGCGGATCTGCGTCTTTCGCTCATCGGTTTTTTAACCCACGAATACAGTCGAATAATGCTTTTATTGTCGAATTTTATTTTGAAGTCGTCATCTGATCAATTTTCTTTTTCTAGGAAAATATCTCTCATTTTACGTGCAATAATTCACAACGTGGACAACAAAAGATATGGAATATCGCTGTATTGTATAGACTGTAGATAGGGTCATCAGATAGGATCGGTATGTTTCCGACGACGTTTCAAAGAATCATTATACGTGAAATAAAATCTATGTTTTTCTTTTCTTTTTTGACGGGAGCAGAAGTTATTCTTTTATGTCTTAAAATCGAATATTGAACTCGGTTTGATGATACATATATAGGTATTTTTCGTTTATATTAGGTGGAGCTATATTCTAGAAAAGGACAGCGAATCGATAATTCATAATAGGCTTGTTTGAAGGAAATATAACCGGATGTTCAAGAAAGAGAAAAAATGTAAAAAATGTATAGGAAAAGAGATAACTCTAAAGAAAACAGAGGCCAGCATTTATCAACGTGAACTATTGGACACATTGGCCCAAGGTACCGGCAAATTCTATCATCCGGGAAGACTCGAATCAGAACGGATGCAATGCGGATTTCGAATCTGGAGCGTCAGCTGATTATGACATAACTCACATGTAATCGGCTTGCGAACTGTAATATAGCAAACGCACGCGTGAGAATCACGTTGCTCGCGTTTCCTGTTTTGACCAGATTCCTTTGGCGACTTAAATGACATTTTTCAAATATTTGTCCGTATTTATATAGCGTAATAATATGAATTTACACACGAGTAATATTCCTTATCTAAAAATCCTTAATTATGCCTGCGAGATATCTGGAGGAAGGCTTCAAGGGTCGCATCTTTGTAACGTATATCGACACACGATTAAAATGCTGATAATGCGTCAACTCTCTTTCTATGACGTGTCATATCACGCTGGTAATCGTGACGTGTTATTGTTAAAGCTGAAATAAAAGTTTGTGAGCGATAACGCAAACGATTTCGTATATAGAACAAAATAATACAAAAGTGTGTAGTTATTACTTACTTGATTATTGACCAACGTAATCTTTCATCGAGTATTCGATATGACTTCGAACTTAGGCATAAACAATTTTAAATCTTTCATTCACTTTGTAATATATCTCTAAATTTCATTCATAATCAGCAGTATTAAACTTTTAATAAGTTAAAAAAAAGTTAATAAACGTAAATATATAAATATAAAGAAAACTAAAATCAAATAGAAAAAATCGAGAGGAAATATAATCTTGATATTTTTTCAATATTTCTTGATCATACTTATATATTTTCGAACTCTCTCATCAAAGTAATTCTAGAAAAAATTCACGAATCCAAATTTTAACAAATAAACGTAATAACACTGCCACATATCTTGTTTACCAATTTGTGACCAATTGCCTTTCGCTGAAACTATATCGAATCAGTTCCGAGATTAGTATAAAATAAAGTCTCATTGACACAAATAGGCGAACTGTTATACAAATCAATGATTATGCGTAATTTGATGTGTATCGTGAATTATATACGCTTCCGTTTTACACTTTCATGCGTTTATCGTGATTAATAATTGAACAATATTCCATCGCTTGACACAATACGGAATCATACGGACTAACAATCGCTACGCAATGTATTGTTCGTACTTTACAAAGCAGCTATGCCACGAGTTTACCATACAATCAATTAACGTCGATGCTTGTAATATACTTCGCTTGCACCTACATGCTAATTTTACGAAATTATATAGGAGTGTATATATATATAGAAGCACGCGTAAATTGAACTTAATTAAACACGGTATATACATAAAGTACTGAGAAAAAAGACGCCAGACTTCTCACAAAAAATATTTTTTAATTAAGATTTAATATGAAATGTATATTGTCATTCATTTTTATAGTTATCATTCTTTTAGAAATAATTCAAACGTGTTCCAAAAATTCCGATACGTTTTCCACATTATGCCTCTCGTCTGGAGACCTCGATAGAAAAGCTCTGAACACTTTTTGCCCTCCCGACAATATAAGCCATTCATCCCAATCAGCACATCCTCATTGCATGATTCTCATTACTATCCAGTCCAATTGTTTCGTGAATTTAACCGCACGATCGCACCACAGATCGTGATTTGTGTTGATTGTTATACGATAAACGTATGTAAACGGGAATCGATTATTAACATACGTAAGTGCGTTTAATATTTACTGTGTCAAATAGTTTTATAATTCTGTATACGCTTACTGTAATTAATTGCGCTTACTATATATAATTGCGAAAGTATATATATATAAATATCTACATATATATGCTATAAAGTATGATGCAAATATGTACGTTATATTTTAGATATTATTTCTGCTCTTACAACGCGGAATTAAATCCAGAGGATTGTCCTAGCAAGTCTGTGATAAAAAAAATTCGAAAAATTTTATGATAGATGACGCATATATATATGACACGAATGACGCATCAGCTACAATGGTGCTGCAAACTACAAAGAACGATTTCGAGCTTTTCCTCATTAACGTGTAATGTAAGAAAAGATTCATCTAAAAAGATTGCAGTCGAAAACGATGTATTTAAAGTATCGGTTGCAACTGAAGACGACGCGAAGTAGAATTTCATGTGTTGAGAAGGCGTGTTTCTCGCTAAATCGAGGAACGGACGGACGGCAGGATACGCACGCACATATACATTGTGTATGTATGTGTGACATGTGACATGAAAAGCCCACGCACATCTCGGTTGGCGTAGTAATACGCGTGCTTCGTTTCGGGCGTCGTCTGCTGGGCACTACTTTCTCGCCACTCACGGGACGGGTAGCAGACGCGATGTCGCGATGCCGAGGAGCGAAGGATGGGTGAATTTTCAGGGTTGAAGGATGGACGTAAGGAACGGACGAGATCTCGCAAATAAATTATGCGAGCTATCAGGTATTTTCAGGGATGCGTGCGAATGCGCGACGCAGAAGAATTCCTTTATTTCGCCATCAACTCGCGCTCCTTCTTTTTCAGGACATCTTCTCCGGCTATTTGACACACCTCGGCCGAGCGAAGTGCATCGAAGTCTGTAATCATTATTGCGATATACCGTTGGAATTTAAGTAACGCGAGATATCGCTAGTATGTTAATAACCGCTCCTGAAAAATTTTGATAAGCTTGTTATATATATTGTAGAAATTCATTCCCGATATGAGAGACTAAAGTATTCGTTACAAAATGCATATAGAAGATACAAGGATATTCAATCTGCGTGTTAGTTTATCTATTAAATAAAAAGCTTATCATTAGCTTTCTTTTCGCGCAATTCCAATATAAAAGAGGTTCTTAAATAAATAGATTGTCTTGCATTTTAGCTTAGAAATATTTAAACGAATGAATTTAGGCCGGTTTGCGCGATTTTCAATTCCAATTTTAATGTCTCATATATTTCTAGAATGACGTAATAATCTTTATCAGAGAATGTCTATGGGAAAATTTTTCTCGACGCATCTATAGCGATGATTCATAGCGATAAAGACATATTCCCAGACTTCGGGCATCGCTATTGTTTTACACACGTTCAGCTTTCGAGTACGCCAGAAACTTTTAGATAGGATGAGTGTGCGCCGACACGGCGACGATGATAGCACCCCGCAAAAATTCTTTGCGTTCTCCCCTTTCCTTCGATTATTCATAGAAACAATTACACGGTCGCGTCATCAAGATCGGAGAGCCTCCTCGCGCGTTTATCGCTACGCGCAATTTGTAATTACGGTGCGCGATATCGAGCGTGTATATATCCATCGTGCTGAGGATCGATAATCCAACTCGAAGCACGATGGAGTCGGCATTTTCAAATTTTTAGGTTATAGTATGCGAGATTAGCGACGAGAGAGAGGGACGGAGGATAGGGGGAGGAGGAACGTGCGAAGGAGAATGGGGGAAGAGAAGATACGACGAAACGGGAACTACTTCGCTGTGGCGGAGTGTGACGTGCCGCGGTACATGCGCGCGCATCCCAGCACGACTCGACTGAACGTGGCAAACGACGAAGACGACGCGCGATTGGTCAATCTGCAAGGGCGCGCGGTTGCTAAGCAACAGTAATAACGCGCGCGTTACTACCGGCCGGCGTAGTGTCGGAGCGGAGCGGATTTCGCACAGTGGCACAGAACAACGTCGGCTTCCGTGGAGTTCATACGTGCCGGATAGTATAAACGACACACCGTGTGCCAAAGTCGACGGATTACTCACACAAACGGGCACTTTCTCTCCCTCCTTTCTCTCTCTCTCTCTCTCTCACTTTCTCTTTTTCTCTATCTTTTTCCTTCTATCCGTCTCCTCCGTTTGTCGCTTCGCGATCGCGGACGCACGCTCCCCTTTCTTGAGGTATCTCCGCCACGGCCGCCGTCAGAGCAGCCTCAGTCTCGCGTTAAAGGACGTCGCGTGAGCTTCAGAGTTTCAGGGCGTCTGAGAAGAGTAAGGCATAAAGATGGCAGAGGACAAGAACGAGACGAGCCCGAGCGCCGAGGGCGAGAAGCCGCCGCAGGAAACAACGGCGTCACCGCCGGCTTCCAAGCCGGACAAGGAGGAGCCGGCGAAGGAGTGCAAGGAAGATGAGAAGAAGGTCGAGGAGAACGGTGAAGGCGAGAAACCGAAGGAGAATGGCGAGGAGAAGCCTACTCCGGAGCCGAAGGACATGCGGGCGATCGTGCTCAACGGTTTCGGCGGCCTGAAAAGTGTCAAGGCCCTGAGAAAACCGGAGCCCACCCTCGGCGAGGGAGAGGTCCTGATACGAGTCAAAGCCTGGTGAGTCAAAGCCACGCTTGCCGTTTTACCGATTAAAGCGCATCGATGTGCATATATTCTCTCCGTTACTTATTATACCGAGTCATTAAATGGAACAATGTAGGAGCCATATTTTCTCCGATTAACTTATTAGAACGCCTCGAATTCACGCATTAATATTTGCTTGGCTAATCGGCCTGTGGCCGAGCTCACACACACACACACATACCTATGCTATTATTTATATTGGTTTTAATTTCTAATTCTTGAAGGAACTTTCTAATCCAGCTAATTAAGTTTGGTATTTTATCATATTTTTTAATGTGAAAAGAGAAAGAGAATTTCTGAAATTTTATAATGTTGCACCATAATTATATATATAAATTATAAAACTTATAATTATCTATTTTCTACACAAATACATACGCACACCGAATTTTTATTTCCAACAAATAAAATAATTTGAAGAATCAAAAATCATATTTGGAACTAAATGAGTGACAAATTTATAAAATTTTGTTGGAGTTCTTTGTCATGGACAGGGTGCGGCACGGTCGGAATTTTCTTCGTTATCAAATTTTGTATCGTATTATGTCGTCGAGATATAAGTGTCGAAAAGATCAACATCGAAAGAATGAGATAACTTCCGTTCTTTTGTCGAGCGCTATCAACGTAAATTCTCCGGAATGTTTGACTTATATTTCTTCGCTTTCCCACCGCGTTAAATACGGATTCTTTGTGACTATATGCGGGCCGTACATAATAGCATATAGTGACTAGGTAATTATGATCCCAAACGTTTAAACGAGTGGAATTAAGGAAAATATATCTACGAGCTTGTCTACGGTGTCTAATCAAAATTATATATTGTAAATCTTTATGTTAATGTTAAATATTTTTTTGTTACAATTTTTTATATTTTTTTCTAAATATTTGAATCAAAGTATGCATTTAATATCAATTCACTTCACATGTGATAGTTCAACGCTCAATCGATAATCAATCAATCAATTTCCGAAACGTAGATGTTGGCGTCGATTCGTAAATCACAATACACGTCCTCGCCCGATCATTTATTACATACATACGGAGGAGAGACGTCAATTTGATTTTTCAATTATAATGAAAGAAATATCGACTTTCACAGCAATAATGTGCGTCGAATCATATCAAGAGAGCTGGCTTTATCTCGAACAGCCAGAAACGGTCGCGATGATGATGGTGCACGGGAGAGATGGCGAATGTCGGATTTGCCAAAGGCTGCGCGGACCTTTTCGCGCGTGAGTCACGTTTTATAAAAGCTATTGGGATTGATGAGAAAATAGCCCCCATAGAAAGATATAACGCTGCCAATGTCGGCACGACGAATAAATTTGTCTGCCTCGCTGCAGACACGTTCGTTAAACTACGCGCACCCCCGTCGTCGGCGCTCGATGAGATAGACGATATAGACGGTTAAATAAAGTGCCGTTCAGTTGTCGTTTCGATAGTACGCCGCTATACAAGCAGCTCGTTAACTCATTTTTCGTCAATTATCCTTCGAAAAATTAAAGATCTTTTTTCTTATAGAAATAAAAAAACATACATAATCATCTCTTCTTAATAAGATAAATTTGCTCTTTTCTCTAATCGCGTATTTCAAGAAATATAAATTTTCATGATAGAGACTGAACAAATTTAAGATACGATAGTATGTTTAAATGCGCTTTTATTTTTACAATTACGTGAGCAAAAATGTTTATCGAAATGCAATTGCTCCCTTGCCAAATTGGTTTTTGCCATTGCAGGCCCGTGGCATTCTCCATTTTAGTCGAGCGTGCACTCACACGCGCTTTACATGTGAACGTCATCTCCATTTGGACGCATATATATATATATGCCCTTTGTAGTGAAAGGGTTATTCGTCGCAGGAAACGTCGAATTTAAGATGTCGCGTCCAAAAGTGGAAGTAATATTAAAAGCGCTACCGGAACACATTTAAATTAATTTTAATTAAATTAATACTTTGTTTTAAATATACTTATCTTTCTGAACTATGCATGAAATACTTGCTTTATTATTTTAATTTTATTGTTAATTAAAAAGAATTTTTATATTAGATCTGATAATAAATATTACTCATTGAAGATTAAATAAATTTCTCGAAGATTTCACCGTAAAATATGTGAATTTAGTTTGTCGTCGCTGATTTTTTTTCCAAAATAATTAACGACAAAAATATAAAAATCGAAATTTTTAAATTTCTGCAGAAATGACTTTACATAAAAAATTCGGCTTTTTAAAAGAATTTTTCTTTCTCTACATTGAATTTTTGTTGTAAACGATTGTACTCGCGAATAATTTTATATTCTACATATCCCTCTCTCTTGATTACTCGTGTAGAATGAACAGTCGAAGGAAACGGGCAATTACTCTTGAATAAAACAATTCTTCCGT